ACTGCTGGGGCTCTGGAATTGCTCAGGATTTGGGATTGCTCTGGGATGGCACTCCTGGGGCTCTTCACATCCCTGTGGGTCCAGCAAAGGCTGAGCTGGCTCTGGGGCACTGCCCAGGCTCCCCAGGGAGTGATCACATTGCCAAGGCTGCCAGAGCTCCAGGAGTGTTTGGACAAGGCTCTCAGGGTGGGATTTTGGGGTGTCTGTGCCCTGCCAGGAGCTGGACTAGATGATCATTGTAGGTCCTTTCCAGCTTGGGATATTCTGTGATTCCATGATGCCAGGGAAGGACTGTGCAGGGCAGGGGAATGTCAGGGCTAGGGGCACACTCTGCCCGTTTGGATGGGGCCATCTGAGGTTTGCTGAGAGTCTGGGCTGCTGCCAAATGACGTGTTGGACCTGTTCCCCCCAGTGTGAGGTGCTTGTGCTGCCCTTGGGACTCCCCTCCTGAGAAACACGAAATGCTTGGCCAGCTTTGTGCTGGAGGCAGGAGGAGCAGAGCAGAGTTCCTGTTGTGAGAGCAGACTTTGATCATGAGAGGTTCCTCAGTGTCTGAACTCTGCTCCCTGGAGCAGGACGTGTCCCCTGACATTGCATCCCTGGGGATAACTGGCTTTTCTTGGCTTGAGAAGATAAAACCCTGCCTGTGGCAGCTCTGTGAGCCGGCCCAAACCGCAGCTTGAGCCCTGAGGTTCATCCTGCACCTTTGCCGTGCACATTTGAGCTTCTGCCGCCTGCTAAAGGCAGAGCAGGTCCCTTCACCTCTGCTTTCCTCCCAGCTCAGTTAACCAGGCTCCTTGCAGGTCACAGTGCAGCAGAGGAGTGTCCAGTGCAGAATTCCAGTGCAGAATTGCAGTTCCACCCCTGCTGGTCTCTTGCAGATCGGGGATATACAGATGAGGCCCACGGAGCAGATCTCCTAGCAGAGGAGGAGGATGAGGAGCACCATGAGCAGCACCGTGTCCACTCCACCTGGAGCCCTCTGGCAGCCCAGGGTTCCCTCGGCTGGCTGGCAGCGTTTTAATCAAGTACCAAGGATCACGTTTGAAGAATTATTTTTCTCTCCCTCTCTCTGAGCTGGTGCTGGTGCTGAGCCAGTTTGAAAAAAAACCAACAAAACCAGAACCACAAACTCTTAGTGGGCCTCTTTCTCCCCCACTCCTTTCTGAAACTGCTTAAGAGTAAAAATGTATTTGAAAATAATGCAGGGAAGTGGTTTGTGGAAGATAGTTTGTCTCCAGGCTGGTTTATTCTTCCTTTTGCTTTCTTTTCAAGGTTTGTTTGATCTTAGTTGCTGATGCTGTGTGTGGACCTAGGTGAAGTGGCACAGGATGTTTGCCAGCTTCAGTGTGCTTAGGGTTTGAGATTTTCAGTGGGTGACATACATGAATCCATCTATTGATTCTATCTATGAATCCATACCTTGAGTTTATTTTCATGGGGTTGATTACTGATGGTGATGATGCACGTGATATTTTCTTTTTCTTTTGTGTCCCACTGCTCTAACCCCAGTGTACAACCTCCCCCAGCCCTCCTTTCCCCTTCACATGAATCATGCCTGCCAAGTTTGAGGAAGTATAAATGTGTGTGCTTGATATTTCTCTTTTTTTCTAAGTAGGTAATTAGCTGGAAGAAAAGCACCTGTCCCTGGGCAGGTTAGGATGATAATCTAAGTGGCATAGTTACAGTAAGAGTGAGTTGTTTGGTATTTTTAATAAAAACTAAACGTGTGCTGTCTTGTGATCACCTCTATCCTTGGTATCATCTCCCAGCACTCTCGATGTTCTGTATGTGATATTTGCATGCATTGACACTTTTCTGGAAATGTGGATTGCTCTGGTGCTGTTGAAATGCTGGTGCTGAGGAGCTGGAAATGGTGGAAGTTTATTTTTGTGTAGAGACACAAACTCTGAGAGAGAGAGAGAGAGGGAGATGGAGTGGAACGAGCCGTGCCGAAGGTGTGTGGAACAAGGAGAGATTTCCAGGGGCATTTGGGCTACAAAAAGCAGCAGGTGAAAGGTCTGGCTGAGGTCTCGTGTTGGGGCAGCCCCGGTGTTTGGCTCTGGGTTTACTCTGAGCTGAGGGAGAAGAGAATGGGCCCCAAAGCAGAGCTGGAGACTCTCTGCAGGGAGGTCTGCGTGTGTCCAGCTCTCTGTGGAGCTCCTGGACACGTTGCCTTAAGATTGCAGACCCTGTCCAGCTCCTGCTGGGCTCCAGGCAGCGTTTCAGAAGGTCAGGGATGGTCAGTTGGTCAGAGCAGAGGACAGAGAGCTTGGGAAATTGGGCTTGGATTGTTTGGCTTACACCAGGAGAGCCCTGGGAGCTCATCTGTGTTACCCCTGCACAAGGGGGCCGGAGCTGGGCCACCAAGACACGAGTTCAGCTCCCTGTACAGCCTTGGGCAAGTCACTTTACCTCTCTGCCTCAGTTTCCCCGCCTGGAAAACGGGGATAGCAACACTCACCTACCTCACAGGGGTGTTGTGAGGACCCACGAGCTTTTGTAAAGCACTTTGACCACGACAGGCGCTGCGTAAGTGCTGAGTGTTGATATTGAAGTATTACTATGAATTAAACTTGTGATACCTAGAATTCCTTGTGCCAAAGGTGAGCAGCTGTAGGAGGATACAAGGAGAAAACTGGCAAAATGTTCCTTTTCGTGATGGCAAAAATAAAAGGCAATTTTCCCCTTTTTTTTTCCTCTTTATTAACACATGGTGTGTTCTGTCCATTCCTCACCTGTCACCAGTTTCTACTGACAAGTGCACCTGGATTTGGCTTTTTAATTTATTGTGAGTGAGATCCCTGTCCCTTGGGAAGTCTTGCACTGCCCTGCTCCAGGATGCCAAGGTGGTGCCCTTGTGTGGATTCCCAGCAGGTACCCTGGGCAGTTCAGGAGAAGGTGGTTGAACTAAAGAGGCCAAAAAAAAAAATACTGAGAAATTAGGAACTTCTGAGCAGGAAAAGCTGAGCAGGGATATGGGCAGCAGTGATGAAACATTGAATTGTGGCAGCAACCGTGTGCAAAGTTCAGCAGATGTTGAAATGTGTGGCTGAGGAAGGGCTTTACATCTCCCTGTGCTGTGAAAGGAGGATTTGCAGAGAACTGCTTAAGGTGCAGAACCTTGACACAGGGTTTGTCCAGGTAATTGCTCCCTGCAAACACAGCCTGGCTGCCCTGCAGCACTTCTGTTTTTTCCCCTGGCTAAGAACATTTGTAAGTCTGATGTAAACTCGAGATGTGCAGTATATTTTTCCATCTGAAGTGTGGTTTTAGGGGATCATCCCTGCTGTCCTCCCCCACGAGGGAATCCTTGCGGGTTTGGTGGCCTCGGTGGCACCTCCTGCCACCTTCCTGGGCTGAGATGGGACACAGCTCCGGGGCAGTGAAACCCCTCAAACGCGAGGATCAGTGAACTGTGTAATTTATCAGTAGGTTTCTAATTGTGAACTGTAAAATAAGGAATAAAAAGAGAGGCACACTGTGGTTCGTCTGTGGTGTGTTTTGTTATTTTTGTGTTAAAACTGAACAGCCTCTTTGCTGTTCACAGCCAAAGTTTTGTTTGGGGAACGATCCGGACAGAATTCTTCCGCTTTGGATCTTTATGAGGAAAATCAGAATTTCCAGAGCTGGACAGCAGTTTTGGGAATAACCTGTGGAGGTGTGTCCGGGGCTCTGGGATGCTCTGCTCCCCATTCCTTGGGCTCCGTCTGCGGTCACCGGGGTTCCCGGGGCTGAACGGGATCCGTTCCCCATCCCTTCCCGATCCCGGGCTCTCTCCGGGATCCGTTCCGGTTCCCATTGCCGAGCTCCGTCCTGGATCCGTTCCCGTTCTCCGGGCCCGGTTCCCGGTGTCCCCGCCGGCCGCCAGGGGGCGCTGTGGCGCGGGGCGGGGCTGTGTTCCCGGTTCCCGCCGGAAGCGGCGCGGTGCCCGCGCGCGTGCCCGCGGCT